TAATACAATATCCACCAATTTGGAAAAAAAAAAACTAGGGAGAACCCACTCTCTTGTAAGCATCAAATATTGACAATGAAATTATTTCAGAAGGATTTTCAGGATGTTTAGTGACATAGTCGCATCAATTTTTGCACACAATGCTGAGCACATTGATGCAAGCATACAGTCATCTTTACCCTGCTGGGACCAAGGAGGAGTAAAATCCAACCATGATCTGGCTTTTTTTTTTTTTGCATTTAGCGGATTAGGGCTCGAAACATCGCCATCTACTGAATCTCAAGCAATCTGCTTTCTAAGATATATGGATGAGACTTCTTTAGAAACAAACTTCACATCTACCTTGTTAAAAGTTTGTGTGGAAGCTTTGAACAATACATATCAAGTATCAAAGATATATGGAATAATTCATAAGAATATCTAATTAGTATTTCAATATAATTGGATACAAATGTCGGGTCTAATGTTCTATACAAACTCTTAAATGCAGAATACATTACTTTTACATCCATTTCTAGTCTATAAAGAGGCCCAAGACTGCTAGTGCATAGTCGAAAATAAAATTTGAAATATGATATGTTCTATAACTATTTTACTTCAATATTAAAAGTAATCTCTCTTCAATAGAATAATGATTTCTTTCCCAAAGGTCTATATCCATACATATATATATATAAATTTAAATTACATTGAAGTAATAAAATTGTTACAAACAAAGAGTTACAAAAAACTTCATTCTCACTAGCTAAATGAGAATCAGATAGGCCCAACCATACAAAGGGATACAAAATGTTACAACCATGCAATCTTCCACATCCCTTTTAGTGCTAGCACATGAATGTTATCCCATAAATCCATTGTACATGATCTATCCTTGGGCTAAATTAATAGTCAACATAATGGCGATTTCAGATATCCTATGGGTCTGGCCAAATTAATGATGATTTTGTTCTTCCCAAATCAAATACACAATAGTCACCAACAAAATACGATAAGTCACATAAACTAAATATCAACATCTCCATCTAAGCGATACTCATTCCACCCCCAATTGCCAATTCATATAAAGACATGAGAACTAGATCTCCTGCTTCAGCACATTTAAATAGATAAATTGGTAAACTGGAACAATAGGCGATCATGCGTCTCAACAATAATATCACAAAGCACACAGGTTTGCCCAAGTTAAGTAAGCCAATGATTGTCAAAGGTTGGCAGTCATTTTGGAGTTACTAGCCACAGAATAACTTATGGCGTGGAATTTTACCTGGTCTATGGAGCAATCTCGTCCAAGACATTTACAAATTCTCTATCACGTAACAAATTCAAAAATGATGCAACAGAAAATGTACATATAGTATCCACATCCATCTAATATTGTCAAAACCATTTGAGATCACTGGTAAGTGTTAATAAATGGCAATAAATAGTTCGATATTTAGTTAGAAGCCACCTCCAAAATTGTTCCTCAATTACCAATTCAACCTTTGAATCCAAAAGAAAGCATGTTACTCTTGTGATATAAGGGTACAACTCACCTAATACTTCAAGTGGATCTTAGAGGTCCTACCATTGTAAGAAATAAGAACCATCTCTAACATTATAATCAAAAACTTTTTGCAACAACGGTCAAAGTTTTAAGAGTTATCTCCAACTCCAATAATTGTAGACATAAATCTGTAAGTTCTGAAAGGATTGTTGTTTAGTTCAATATGCCTTCACCAATCCATCCATAATGATTTTTCATCATTGCTTATTATTACCAGATATGACACATCATAAGTGCCTGATTAGTTGGAATCAATGGAGCAATACGGAGTCCTCCTCTTCTTTTGTTAGACACATTTTCTCCTATGCTACCTTTGTATATCCTTCTTTGAAATTACTCCAAAACAATTTCTTAAGTCGGCCTTGAATGTCACATAGGAGTGACTTAGTTAAAATAAACATTTTGGACCAATAAATGTGAAGGGATGAAAAAACAGACTTGATTAGTTGAATTCTTCTAGCATAAGAAAGCGATTAATTAGTCCAATACCAAATATGAGAGTTCAAATTTTTCAAGAAAGGTGAATAACCTACAATGGTCAATTTAGATGTGATAAGTGGAATGCTTACTATTGAATTGGCAAGTTACCTTTTGCAAAACCCACAACTTAACTAAACCTAGGTGATTTAGCCTTAGATAAGTTGAAACAAAAAAGCTAGTTTTGCTTGAATTTGCTTTCAAACCAGAGAGCAAAGAACATAGGTAAAGTCCCTTTTTTGGTTGACATCAATTCTTTTATTCATCCATTTAAAAGTTTAACGCGCATTACTATCTTGTTTGCAAAGTTTCTTCATCTGTTGTTTCACGTGTTGTGACAATGCAAATCCCAATTCAATTATTCCATTTTAATTGATAAGATCGTTAGGTTCTAGGATAGGAGATTCATTTTACCATTAGATTGAGAGTTCGATACGCATTGTGGCGATCCCATTTTTTGAAAAGGAAAGGAAGTTTTCATTAGGATTTTCAGTAAAAAATAAATTGACCTCTTACTAAATTATTGCTTGAGTTGTTGTACAAAATTGAAGAGTTTAAAAATTAGTTGAACATTATTATTCAACACTAAACATTCAGACTTATGTGTTAACTTTTATCAAACAAGCATAACTATATTTCTCATACAAACTCCGGTTAGATGTTAAAATTATTACAACTTATGATTTTGTACAATTTTACTAGCGCAAATTATAGTTTTTATTTCCTACATCATAGTTTTATATATACATATATATATTATATATATATATATAACTACATCATAGTTTTATGAGAAGAAAATATAATTTTTTTGGGAGAGATGCCCAACAGATACTATCCTGAATTTCTCTAAAAAAAAAAACAAAAAGAATATGTAAGTTTTCAACTATCTTTTTATTGTGAACCCCGTGTAGTAATATGGTTGATGATCATGAGAAGATTTTTGTTTTATTAAAAATGCCATTAGCGAGCAAATCCCAATTATATTAAAATTTAAAACGGTATAAGAGCAAATTTTAAAATTTACCCAGAGATAAAATTTCTTGATATGATATGTCTAACTATCTAGACAATTAGTATGAAAACCAAAAGAATAGATCTTATAGAATGTGTAATTTTGTCGTACAGTGTTGATGGTTGATCAAGAACAAACTGTCCTCTGGTGGCTCATAAGAACTACTAGTGAGGTGTGATAGTATAAGAGTTTAAATAAACTCTGTCTTTGTCATACTGTTCGCTATTGAATTAGTCTCAGGATAAATGTGTGTCAATTTGTATCTGCATCGAGTTTGAATCACATGAATCTCACTTATTCCATCCTTATTGAACCAAGGATAAGATTTTTGCTTTTTAACATGGAAACCAATGCCTTGTTATCGTTTGGATCATGAGAGAACTTTTTTCTTTCTCTAGATTGTAAACTTGTATTATGTCATTACGTCGCAATTGTTAAAAGCTATTTATATCATCTTGTTAATGTGGGTCTAAAATGACTTTCAGAATTGAATTCATTTTCGAGAATATTCACTTCTTTCTTGATACTTCTTGTCAGTTTTATCTTTATTGCCTACACGCGTTTGAATTTTGGGCTCTTTGGGGGGAAGGCAACAACAACACACGCTAAATATTATTGATGCTTCAACGAGAAATTGTTGTTACAGCTGGTAACTGAAAATTATTATTACAATTTGAATATCCATACTGACAGTCTTATTATTATTATTAATATTATTTGGAAAGATAACTAAAATGTGTTAGAAATATTATGAACATTGTACTACACAGGAAATGGCAATAGGCAAGAGTGAAAATATTATGAAATCATATAAAATCATTTGAGTGGTGGTTTTTACTCTGACACCAACATAATTTTATTACTTTCAGTTTCTTTCTTAAACTCTTGTTTATGAGAATATAAGTTTCTGTTTATTTTCTTAAGAAATTCCTCATATATAAATTATAATGTGTATGTGTGTGTTTGTGTGTATGTGTTTTTATAGTTTTCTTATGATACTTTCTTTTTTTTTTTTTTCTAATTATGGAGTTTGACCTTGCTTCAAAAATATTCCATGTTAAACTTAAATTATAACATATAATAGACTCCGCAAATTTACATTCAAAATCAATATCAAATGCTCCATTCATTTTAAAATTGTTGTCCAGTTTGGATTTTTATTTTCTGTATAATTTAAACTAAAAGTGAAAATCTAAAATGAACAATAATTTCGGAACAGAAGGAATGATAACACTTGTAGCAATCTGTCATCTTGCTCCAATCAAAGGCCATCTTAAGTTTGTTTGGGATTTTATATTTGCGTTAATTATTTCAAACTTTCAATATCTTGGTGTGATTTAAACGTGTATGTTAGTGTTGAAAATTCAAACACTATTTTTTTAAGTACGAGGAGATTGATATCTATTTCATCTAGGGAACTCGAAATTTCAAAAAGTATTTCTGACAACCTATTAGGGATCCAAAATATAAAAAAAAAAGCTTTTCATATATTAAAAAGTAATATATATATATATGTATATATAAAAAGAGGAAAATAATATCAATTGTAATGGGGGAAAATAAAAGTCAAAGTAAAAAATCCCTGAGCAAACTCAGATTGAAACGACATCGTAGCCTCCTCTTCCGTAAGCCATCCTTTCTTCCTCTCTTTCCCGCTTACTGCTCCACCCAGTCAAGTCCGTCGGAAAATCGCCATTGCCAATCTTCCAATCCGACCCATCATTGGCCATATTTGTATCCGACCCGTTTCAAGGGTCCAGGCACTGTTCCAGGTACCATATTTGGGAATTTCTTTTTTCCCATCTTTGCTTGATTATTTAATCTTTATGTTTGATGATTATGTGTTTTTCTAATTGTCTACTAAATCTGTTTTGTTCAGAAAATTTCTGAAACAATTTGATGTTTCTGCAGTTACCAATGAATTTCAGCTTACAAGATTATAGAATCGTAATCTGATCGATGGACTACGGCCTCCCTGATCATACGGGTAAGTTAAATTCTAGATTTTTTCAATTATTTTTTTCTTGTTTCTTGGCTTGAAAGATTATTTGATTCAGATTATGTCTTCACGTTAGATCAACTTGGGGATGATGATCCTTGTAATTTGTAAATGTTTTCTTGTTCATTTATGACCATTTGTGCAATTTTTGAATGAAAAGCTTATTATTCTCCATGTCCTGGCTTTATTATTCGTGACTTTGATTTTGTAAACTTGAAATTGTTTAAATCTTGATGAAATCGTGAAGATTTAACTTGAATGAACATCAGCATTTTGACTTACTTTTTTTCTGAATTTTGGATAAAAATTACGCTTATGGAGCGGTATTTGGATTATTAAGGATAAACATTAGAATCGTGTGGAGTTGCTAGTCTTTTAGTTATAACTGCATATGAATATGAAGATGCCGAAACACACACTCAGAGAAAGAATCGTGTTTAGGGACAAAACAGCTAGTTGCTGATCATTTATTTTATTTTGCATTGTGTTTTCTTTTCTTTTCCCTTATGATAAATGACACCAAATTGAATTTTGTTCATTTTTTCGAAGATAAAAAATTGCAAAGAAGCATGTTTCAGTCTGATACAGATTGACCAATTTGGTCGAAGCCTGAGTATTGCTTTGTGGTTGAGGGTCTTCTTCCTTCCTGATATAATGGGGGTGCTATTTCCACTCATTCCATTCATGTTTCTCCCTCTTCACTTTCTAAGTAATGATAGAAGAGAATACTAGTGGCCAATATAACTGTTTTATTCACCTCCTGAAAACACCCTTGTTAATATACTTATTCATTGTGTTTCTTTAGCTGCCAAAAGTAGTGAGTCTGATGAAACTTTGAAATGCAGTTGTTCAAGGTATGTTAATGTTTGATGAACGTAATCATGTCACCCCTTTTATCGCCTATTCTCTGTTACATAGCAGGATCCTTAAAATTTTGTTATCCATTATCCATATCTTGTATCCCATGTTTACTTTTCTGGGTAGTCTAAACCTTGGTTATCTTGTTGCGACCTCCACAGACATCTGATATGTTTTATTGATTTGATGTAACCGGTTCCAAGGTGAAGACAGTTTAGAAGTTCTCTCCATCTTGATATTTACTTACCAGGCCTTCTTAGGCTTGTCTTCATGAACCAGGAAATGACTAGTTTTAAGCATCAGATTAGGTAAAGCTATTGTTAGAGGATTAAGAATTGAAGTGTCTGGTGAATCTTGTTGCTTGTAATTAAGACCTCTACCGATCAGCAAGTGTTGTATACTTGTGCAGACAGAAAAATTACTGACTTTTGATATTGTTCTTTATGGGGTAAATTGGAGCAAGGATTACCACAATTGCACTTATATCCGGTTCAAATTGTCTGCACTAGGGTACCTCTGGAACATATTAGGCAGTACTGCATTGGGATATCACATTAAACCAATTGGGATGCTTTTCAGCACTAAGATGCCTCTGGTAGTCTGGTTCTTACAAGTATCATGGTTCTATTTGAAAGTCAGAAATGTAGCAACTGTAGCAAGGGAGAAAGATTCTATGGTTTTCTTGTCCTTTCATTTCTTTTTCCCCCCTCTTTCTTCCTACATTTTATTAGGGCCAAATAAGTGGAATTTCACCAACAGACGGGTGTCCAGCGCTGGACTCTCTTGTCCTTTCATTTTTATTTTAACTTGAGTCTAAGATGCGTTGCAGTTTTTTCAAGTCATTTAAATCTTGCACAGTACAACGTTTCATGGTTTGTGTGTAAATATGTACGCACATGAGGTTTTTTGTAATTTTCTGTATTCTCTTACACTTCTCCAAGGCAAATGTATGCTCTATTTGATGTGTATTTCGTTGGTTGAGCTCATCTTTACCCTTGAGAGTGTCTCTCCCTCCTGTATTTATTGCCTTTTAATTTGTTTTATTATGGGAGATGGAAAATTGTCTGATTGGTCAAAATTCCTTCTTTTCTTTTCTCTCTCTCTCTCTCTCTCTCTCTCTTTAAAATAACTTTCTACAATTGAACTAAAAAGTTTGATCCTTACGACAGCGTTGCACAAATAGACTCTGTTATTAGCAGTAATTGATTGCACAGTTATGCTGATTTGCTGATGTCACTACAGGAGTCAATCACGACCTCCCTCTTTCAGAACAGCACAAAGTTCCTGGAAGAGGTCGTGGGTTTCTTCAGAGGAGGCCCCTGATTGGAGGTAGTGGTCAGTTTCAGCGAGCTCAAGTTGATATGGAAACACAGATACACCAAATAGAGCAAGATGCTTATGCTTCTATCTTGCGAGCATTTAAAGCTCAATCAGATGCCCTCACTTGGGTCGGTACATTTCTTTTTTACTGATTTCATCATGTAAAATTTTCCTAGAAGTCATTATTGACAGAAATTTTTTTGTTATGCATTTTTCCAGGAGAAAGAAAGTTTAATCACAGAACTAAGAAAAGAACTGCGAGTATCAGATGCAGAACACAGAAAACTTCTCTCCATGGTTAATGCTGAGGACATTATGAGTGAGATAAGGTGTTACAGAGTGCATGCGATCTATATTTGAATTACTTTGGGTAAACTTAATGATGGCGTATTTATTTGTCATCAGGGTCTGGAGAACTGCTACAGAATCACGCAAGAAAAGAAAGACCTTGCAATCAGTAGCTCCGATGCCATTGGAGGTAATCATCAATGTCATGGCACTCGGTCTCACTTTTATACAGAAAACAGAAGATACATTCTTCACACTTTTGCGATTTAAATACCTTATTAAACGTTTGCCGAACTGAAATGTTTCTTGATTCAAAAACAATTTTTGGTTGACTAGTTATCTTTATCTATGATATACATTGATGTACATTCAAAAACAGTTTCTACTGCAGATATAAAACATTGATGCGTTAACAGCTAAATCTCTACGTCACTTCTCTTGTGTGAATTCTCACACATCCATTAGGTGTATCTATGTTTGAAAATTCCCATTACAATGCCATCCATGGCAGTTCATCCAATTGTATTATACCTACCCATTCAATGAAGATAAACAAGCTTATCCACTCTTTGAAGCTAGAGTGATTTTAAGGCTTGATATGAGATAATAGAATGAGGGATGTTTCCTTGCTTGACAAATTTTGAGCAACTGTAAAGTTATGAACTCTTGTCAGCCTCTTCTTTTTTGCATGTTAAACATATCATCTTATGTAAAGGGCCTCTTCATGCTGGACTACCTCATGTTACACTTCCATTTAGTATTTTGTTTACCCCATGATTTAGTATTTGTAAGGTACACGTACTTTAAAACTTCAAGCTACCTTTCTTTGTTTATCACATTTTCATTTGTAATTTCTTTATATTTGTTTTGGTTTAAACTCGCATCAGTACTCCTTTTTAAATAAAAGCTGGCTACCAGAGGAGGGACTATAAGGTTTAAATCCTTCATCATGTGTAGTTTTCTCATACATTTTACTATGTGCTTTATTACAATTAAATTAAATTTTGCTTGCCAGCAGATTGATCATTTCCAGACGTCTGCTGAAGATCTTAGATGGAAAAGCCGCGGATTGCCGAAGCCTGTTTCTCATGGTAATGCTGTTGCACTTGCTAGAAGAGGTGGGGGTTCCACGAAAGATGACTCCAGAGCCCATACTCATGCATCTCTAATTGGCACTGAGAGGGACTCTTTTGGTGATATTGAGATTCTCCACACTGACACCCTGATTAAGCAGGTAATATTTACTAGAAATCTTTCAGCTTCTTGCCGATTTGGCCATGGGATATTCCTCTGATGTGAACCATAATAGGTGGAGCAAGTATTGAGTGCAAATCATCCTGATCCAGCTGATTTGGAGAAAGTAAAGAAAGTGCTTAAGGTTAGCATCAACGTTATTTTGTTTTAATTAAAATTCATTGGCAAAGTTATCAATGCTTTTTCCATTCCCAGGACCATGAGAAAGCCCTTATCGATGCAATTGCGAGGCTGGACGATGCTTCTGATGGTGAAAGTGGTAATAACTGACTGCATTCAACACTCAGGCGGCTGCTGTTGTATCTCCTAAGCCGAATGATCTAATGCAGACTGTAATCTTCTTGTACATAGTCATCCATGTTATTCTCTCTACGCACTGCAGAATGTCAGGGAAGTGGCCAAGATCCAATCTTTTGCTGACTGAATCTGAGAACCGAATGGTCCATGGCGTTGATCTTACTTAAAGCCAAGTCATATGGGGATCACTGTTCATTTCCAATATTCTGAGTAGATGCTTGGGAATCACAAATGTAAAATGTCATAGATTCCACGCCAGACATTTTAGCCTGAGAAGTAGTTGCTTCGTCATGTCCTTTAGAAATGTTTCATCAGGAAGAGCTCGTATTTCTGAATTTTTGCTTACTTTCACGTTAGTTAGTCGGGTTTTAGCAGAAGGGGGAGACATTCAGGTAACATACTGTAAATGAACATATATTTGCACAAATTCCCCATTCCATAATGAAAGCTGTGTGTCACTAAAGCTACAAATGCCACGGTCTCTGAAAACGAATTTACACGCCGAGTATGGGCACACAGGGCCGTCGCATTCCTTGCAAATTCCAAGACTAACATTTATTTACACGTGATACAAAAACTGCAACAAATTGCATCAGCATCCCCATAGAGTTTCTGACATCAGTTATAAACGACTATCATGGGAATGAATGCCCGGCAACAAGAAGAATACAGTCTATAAACTAAAGTGACTGAATAAAACGTAAGATTAATTTCACCATTTCAGCATCATATGAAGGGCCTTCCATCTGGAAATGGCTTACGCCCTCAATCAGATGAGTCTCTACATGGCCATTAGCAGACTTTAGCTTGTTCTTTAACTGTTTAACACTAGTAAATCCATCCCTTGTTCCCATGATGAAAAGTTTTGGTTTGGGAGACTTGATGATAGCTTTGTGATGTCGACCAAAGAGGATAGATGCCATAAAACCAAATGGATATCCAATGCTCACGTAACCAACCACTTGATCAACCAGGTCAACTGCAGAGCCAGCAATCGGAGCCCCTGTTCCACCAGAATGTTTGCGACCAAAGTTAGACCGAGAAGAGTTGAAAATCCATACAACTAAACGAAAGCCATGTTGTTCATCAGTAGAAAAGAGGAATACTCAGAAAAATCCTGACACATGATTACCAACGAATCTCAGTTTACATTGCCTAAATTTTCCATTTGCTGGATGGTGTCCGCTGTTTTTTCAAAAGAAATCATTTAATATTCTATCCTGGTTATGAATAAAATGACAATGCCAAAATGACTGATAAGGGCATTTCTTTTGTTCATGAAATTCCTTGTACCAAAACACGTAAAAAGGTTTCAAGCAACAGAGGAAGAACCTAATAATACACACTACAAGAAGCAGACTTGTTTTGACATGGAAAATACCAGAAAAAACTGAATGAATAAAGCAGCATAATAGTTACTTCACATAATGACTATTTGAGACCATTAATGCTACTTGTCCAAATGATTTTAGCCAAGTAGAGAGAGATGTACCCAAGCTGATTCAGGAACAAAAGTAGATGTCACAACCGCAGCTATCATTCTTGTATATGTCGGGAGACAGATTCATTCAGCATTAAAACAGCCGCAGTTCTTGTTGATACTAAGAAAACCTTATGTTTCGCAAAGGCTGCAAAGCCTACAAGAAGTACTATATCCTTTTGTTCAAGAGAAAGTTCATCATTAATTAGCAACCTAAAACAGATTTCAGGAGTTACTAGGAATACCATTGAGCAATTAGGCGCCTAAGAAATGAAACATACTGATCCCAAATAGGGAACTTGTCCTGAATCATGCGAAGATAGCTTCACTATATAAATTCCAGGCTTTCAATTCCTATAAGATACTGCATTGGCAATATGTTAGTCACTCAAATGCATAGGGTAACTGCAGCAGTGAAGTGCTAATATCTATCCTTTACAACCAAAAGTATCTACATCAAGGTCAACAATGAGAATGGAAACTGGAGGGTTCAATTAGAGACGTTCAAGAGTTCCAAAACAGTTTTACTTCAGGTTCAAACAACATATTGATTCAGATTTAACACTCAATCCTACGAACACTTATAGAGAACCAAAGTTCAACTAGAAGAACCCTCAATCTCTTACTCTGAGAGCAGCTACTGAATCAGAAATGCATACTTCAACAGATTTTTCCTTCTACATTCACATACAGAGTGATCTGACTTAAAATCGAACTAATTCCTAAGACAGGATCAACAATAACAAACATGCTGTAAAATGTTAAGCTTACCTCCTGAAAGAATTACAGTAAATCAGTTAATCATTCCCCTCAAACTAAGCAATAGATTTCTTCAGTGACTCAACTAATCAACTGAAATTCCTAAATTAAGAACCACATTTTAATTACTTCTACACATGGATGGTCGTTAATCTACTTAAAACCCCTCCAGCAACGCCTACACTTATAAATTCCACAAATTAAAGTCAAGTTCTTCAGGACTGAAGAATGCGAAGGCTAAATAGGGTGGATACCTGCAGAAGAACCCACAAGCAAAATCCGATTAGAAGAACAATTCTGAGAAGCCCATCTGCAGACAGAAACCACATCCTTGATTTCCCTGAACCCAGTTAAAGAAGGCTTCCCAGTGGATCTCCCAACTCCTCTCATGTCAAAAGTCACAGCTTTATAGCCTTTTCTTGCCAACCCACTTGCAATCCCTCTCAGGAGAATTTGGCAACCACCCAAAACTGAGTACGGATGCACCAAAACAACCACGATGTCCTCATTTTTCTTAACTCCCATCTCTTCCTCCTCCTCTTCTTCTTCATCATCTTCTTCTTCTTCTTCTCCGCCTCTCGGTGTGAAAAGCATAGTGTGAAGCTTAACCCCATCAGTGGTATCAATAGTGAAGGATTCTACTGAATAATCAATTGGCATTGTTTTCGTAGGAGAGCCTTTTTGAAGAGGGATTTGGCTTTCTTTTTCAGCTTTTTGATTCTAGTTTTCTACGGTCTTTTCAGAATAGGAAACATTATGTTTTCTTTTTGAAACCACTGTTTTTTGTGGTTTTTTGAATAGGAAGCAAAGCATCAGTCAGTAAACTAAATACAATGAACTAATTTCTTAAATTCCTTCTTCTCCCCCAACATTCCTTAATTTGATATAAATCTATTCTTTTTTTGGGTTGAAATGTTACATTTGTTTTAAAATACAAAAAAAAATTGTTATTACTTATGCTTCTACCTCATTCAAATTTCCCCAAAATATAAAAGTTTTTGTATGGAAATGAGGTGTAAATGAAAATTTAGATGTAGGTAGGCCTGTTGTTTGGGTCGGTTTATCCGATGCCCGACCCAAACTAAAACTACTTTTTAAATTCGGATAAATTCAAATAAAAACAAAAAAAAGTAAAGCGGTCAAAACCGAATAAGATTATTCGGTTAATGGGTAAATTGACTACAATCCGAATAATTTCGACAAACCCGCAAAAACAACAGTCTTTGATATCATTGTCTGCTCGTCATCATCACCTCTCTCATCCTTTGCCACCCACCGTCCCACCATTGATCTCTCCAATTCTTCACCAAAAATTGTGGCGGCCAACTTACTCTTCTTATCAGGTAGAAATCTTTCTGTACTCATCAGACAGAAATGGAAGTTGGAAATCCTAAAAGGGTTGCTCTAATTTGTTGTTGATTTTTGGTGGGTGCTCTTTATTTTCACCAAAATTTACACATTCAGATGGGGGCTTGATTGATTTGTTTGATTTGATGATTGGAGCTTTGTGATTATCTCTTTTTCTCAATTGTTCGTTTTTCCATAATTTCTTTTATTTTTTATTTTGACTAAACTACAGAAAACATCTTATACATCTGGGCAAAAAATCATTTCCATCCCATACATTTTAAAATACACATTTTCGTCCCATTTTGCCCAAAAAACATGATTATTCGACTATTTACGTCCCAAAGTAACTTTCCGTCCAATTAACCGTCAAAATATAGGGGTATTTTTGTCTTTTACTCATGCTTTTGGTTTTTCATTAATTAAGAATAAAATAATAATTGATTAATAATAAAATTAATAAAAAATATTTTTAAACTTTAAAAAAATCAAAAATAAAAATTTCATACACTTTTACCAGGTGGGGCCTCAATAATTTAATTTTTTTATTATTTGCTACAGTAATCATAAATATATTAAAATAGTAAAAAAAATTAAATTTCAAAATTCAAAATTAAACAAAATTGCCTCCATTTACTGTGTGGGTCCCACTGCGAAGGTCCCTTTTTTTTTTTACTGATTTGCTACAGTAAACTCCAATTTGTTAAACTATTATTTTTCTTTTTGTCGGGAAGATACTTATAAATTTTTGGGGCTAAAATCAAAACACCCAAGAGATTTTGTCGATTATAAAAACATACCCCCAAACTGTTAGAGATATCAGGAACCCCTTAAGATATATTTTTGAGCATCAATTTTTAACAAACCCAATTACATCAAATTTTGAGCAAAATTGGCCAAAACCAATCACACCATATCTTGACACCTTTTTACTTAGGAAAATCTCAATTGCCTATTCCGGAAACCAGTGCAATAGATTTTTCTCAGATTTGTCCACTACCCGTAGCCCATTTTGAGCTCACCGGACAACTTGCCAATTGCCATCATCGACTTGAATCAGCAACTTGCAGAGATAAATGAGAATTAAAAATCATGGAATAAAGCAACAACAATCAAAGTAATCACCGGCAACGGATACAAGTGTTCCGATCAAAACTCAGACCCAACAATATCTAAGAAGAACCAAGCAACGAATCTTTCACATTTCATCCGAATTCTATTTCAGATTGAAAACCAGACGAAAAATCTCAATGTGGTGGGTGAGTGGATTACTATTACAGCCAGTACACACACACACAAATAAAAAACTCCACTCCAAGCAAATCGTCTTCAACTCACGGTGATATCCATTTAAACAAAGCTAATGAAAACCAAACGTAACAAATTGGTTAACCAATTGAATCTGGATAACCCAAAATTTCAATGTAACCATCAGAAACTAAATACAAGGAAAAAAAAGAAGAAAGAAATTTGGTCGGTCAATCACAATGTGTTATAGATCTGAAAGGAGAAAATCTCTGCCAGCTGCCGCTGCGGCTCTCGTCTTCAATGTTGTTGATTCTCTAGATCTCAAGTTTAGAATGGTAAATTCATTACCCCAATAGCTTAAAAAAAAACACTAAAGGCACTAAGAAGGAGATGAATCAAGGCGGGTGGTGAAAAGTGGTGATGACGATGGGGGAGAGGGGTACTGAAGGATAGATGAAGATGCTTTGGAACGGAAGTCTTTCTTCCCTTTTCTTTTTCAACGGCAGAAACTTTTTCTTGTTTGGATAAAAAAATTTTAAAACAAATAATCAAAAAATTAAATTATTGAGGCCCCACCCGGTAAAATTGTATAAAAATTTTATTTTTGAAATTTAAAAATATTTTTTTATTAATTATTTATTATTTTATTTCTTAATTAATGAAAACCCAAAAGCCGGACAAAAAGACAAAAAAACCCCTGTTTTTAACGGTCAATTGGACGGAAAGTTACTTTGGGACGTAAATAGTCGAAAAATCATGTTTTTTTTGGACAAAATGGGATGAAAATGTACATTTTAAAATGTATGAGACGAAAATGATTTTTTGCCCAAATGTAGAGGACGTTTTATGCGGTTTAGTCTTTTATTTTTTATTTTGGGGAGTTTTTTCCTGAGGTTTTTGTTTTGGTTAGTGAAAGAGTTCATCATATACGGGTTTAGTATTCGTTGATCATTCGTTCGATTAGTGCCCAGGATTTTGAGATTTTGAACTGTGAACAGTTGCCCGCTCTTTTGTTCAGGTGTGTGTGTGTGTGTGTGTGTGTTTTTTTTTTTGGCTCCTCTGGGGCTTTCTGTTTGATTTTGTTAGATTGATGTGTTATTTTTTTATTTTGGGTTTTCAGTCAAAATCATTTTATTTAAACTTTTTTTCAACAAGCTCTGTGAATTTTGAAGGTAGTAAGAAATGAAAACTTACTCTGAAGTGATCTTTGCAAATTTAATCGGCTTGGATTGCTATTTCTTAACACAGGTTAATCATCATTCTTCGAAATATACCCACGTTTAGAATTCACTTTGCATGACCTAATAGAGAGTGTTGGTTGTATGAATAAGTCACCATAATATTGGGGGCAGGTGGCCTTTTTCCTTCAATGATATGATAATGATTAGAAATAGCTGCACAAACTCCTCTGATTAATTCAAGTGACCTTGATATTTTTGGTACCTATATCCTATGGTTTCTAATCGAGTGTACATCACTTTTTTTTTCTTCATGATTTTCTCATTTTTGATGATTTGTGGCTAAAGTTAGATAATCCCTTTTCATCAATTTATTACAATCACAAACCAATTCAAAAGGTTTATTATTCAGAAACTGATTGATATATGCACATTAAGGATATGCATGTATCCTGCTTTTAGTAAAGGTTCTCTGTGTTATCAGTTTATCACCAATTGTCTCTTGTGTTTGGTGTTTGCTTTTTGTTTCAAACAAATGGAATCAATACAATGATGCATTAATCATAAATTTGAAGAAGCTGATAATGATCCCTCATTATTAGTTCATGACATGGCTTGGTTTAATTATAGAGTATATCAAACTGTCTTGTGTTTTTCTTCTCTTCTTTTTGGTTTTTTTTCCTCTCCTGATATATATAGCATGCTGACTCAACCTCTAAGCAAGGGATAGCATCTCGTTCCAATTCGTTGTGGATTTGTATTTCAATTGATTTGATGCATCAGGAAACATAATTGTAGTCATTTTTTTCTTTTAGATAACATTTTTGTATCTCTTATCTTATCTTATGAGACTTTTCTGACTACAGCATTTGCCCCCAAGTGTAGCAACACTGCAACCCCTTCGAGCCGCGATCAATATTCAGGAATAATTCATCAGGTACTTTGGAGGGAGTTCTAGTGCAGGAACTATAATATTTGCCCCAGTGTTGTTTCTAACTTTCCAGCCTGTGGAATGAGTTAATCTATGTTAACTGGAGGTTAGTAAAGTTGCTTCGTTTTGTGTATAGGTTTATGCTCTTCTTTGCATAGCTGTTGCATTATGCCACCCACACTGAATTTTTTGTGTATAGATTTTGCTCCCTCAGGCTTAGATTCTTAGTTTTTGGTACTGTTTAGTTGTGGCATTCTTTGTCTTGTGTATATTTAGTTCTGAATTTCACTATATATTGCATTTTTGAACTCTTGCAGTCATGAAATTCAGTGTAGAAATTGTGATTCTGATTGTATTATGGGATTCCCCTTATCCTAGTTGGACTTTCTTAATGCTTTGTGCTTCTCTATTTGTTCGCTGTTTGTTCAGTTTAGGAAATTATATTCTGAGAGACCTTTTAAAATTCTATTTTCTTGCTGTTTTATGTTATTTAGATGACTGAACCTAATCATTCAAAACCTCGAGTCGATCAACCTGGAAGTGAAGGGATTTTTGATAGTTTTAGGGTTGACGAGGGATCGGCTTCTAAAGTCGGAACACAAAAGAAAGGCAGGAAGGTTAAGAAAAGATCACTTGTTTGGAAGTACTTTAGGACTTATAAAAATAATAAGGGTGAAACAAAAAGTGTTTGTTTTTGATGTAAAACAGAATACTTTTAGAAACTAAAGTACATGGGACAAGAAACTTATGGCATCATTTAGAAACATGTCTTTCTAAAGTTGATATTCGGGCCCTTAAAAGAAAGGAAAAGGTGATGGAAGAGTTTGTCTAAAAGATATTCGGGATGCAATAGTCTTTATGATAATTGTGGATGAGCTCCCACTAAGCTTTGTTCATGGAAGGGGATTTAAGAGATTAATGGAAGTATGTGTTCCTTCTTTTACAGTTCCATGTAGAAGTACAATCATTAAAGATTGTAGGAAACTTTTTAAGTTAGAAAGAGCGAAAGTTAAGGCTGAACTTAGGCAAAATATTGGTAGGATTGCCTAACTACAGATACTTAGACATCTCCCCAACGAGTTAATTATATGTGTTTGACAGCACATTACATTGATTACAATTGGAAACTACAGAAAGAAGGTCTGAATTTTCGCCCCGTATCAAGTCATAGGGAGAAACAAATTGGAAAATATGTTGAAATTTGTTTATCAGAATGGAAAATTGATAATGTTTTAACTGTTATGGTTGACAATGCAAGTTCAAATGATACTGCTATTGCATACTTGAAAACTAAGTTTGAAAAGTGGGGAAAATGTGTTATGGGTGCGAAGTTGACACATATAAGGTGTGTGGCTCATATTATTAATCTAATCGTAAAGGATGGGTTGGAATGTTACAATTCATCCCTTGAATGTATTAGAGAAGCTGTAAGATATATACGTTCGACAATCTCCTCTAAGAACTAGTACTTTTAAAAAAATGGCTGTATTAGAGAAGTGTCCAAGTTCAAAAAATATTCCCTTGGATGTGTCAACAAGATGGAACTCCACCTACTTGATGTTGGATGTAGCTCAACATTATGAAAGAGCATTTTATAGACTTGAAGCTGAGGATACTCATTTTAAGAAAGAGCTTGTGAATGGGGTGCCTAGTCCATTGGATTGGCAAAATGTTTAGGCATTTGGTAGGCTTTCTTAAGCATTTCTATAACCTTACATTGAAAGTGTCAGGAACTAAATATGTGACTGCAAATTCCTATTTGGATGATATAGCTTGCATTGACATGGTTTTGAAGACTTGGACTAATAAGAACAATGACCTGGGACTCATAGAAATGGCAAAATTCATGAGAGCTAAGCTTGACAAGTATTGGGGGAACGTGGAGAATTTTAACAAGTTAATTTTTGTTGCTTCGATACTTGATCCTCGGAATAAGTATCTATATGTCAAAATTTTGCTTCATCACATGTATGGGGATGAAATTGGTAAGAGTATGGCTAAATCGGCAAAGATTACCTTGAAAGATCTCTTTGAGGTCTACATTAGGATTCATCATCCTCCTTTATTTCCCTCAGCTACTACTCCTTCTCCTTTGGCGGGTTCTTCATTAATGGGTAAAGGGTCAACAGAAATTGAGCCTGCAATAATGTTGCAAGAGAAAATTCGAAGGAAAATGAAAAGGAGGAAATCTAATCAAGCTTTGAGAGATTGTAGATCTGAATTAGATACGTATTTGAAGGAGAAGGTTGAACGTAATGTCGCTGGTTTTGAAGTTTTAACTTGGTGGAAGGTTAATAGTTTCCGATTTCCCATCCTTCCATTACTTGCCCGTGATGTGCTTGCCATTCCTATATCCACTGTGGCTTCGGAGTCCGTTTTCAGTACTAGTGGCCGACTTATTGATGCATTTAGGAGTTCTTTAGCTCCTGATTTAGTTGAAGTATTAATCTGTACGCAAGACTGGCTCCGTGAAGATTCATCGCATGTGCATGTTGAAAGGACCTTTGAAGATTATCTTGATGACATTGAAGAAGGTTGTGATTTGTAGTTTTGGAGGTCTTTTATTAAAATTTTCTTGTAATTTTTAGGTCTGTTTATAACTCATTTCGTCTTTTTATTTTTTTTTTCCTCCAAAACAGAATTCAGTGAAGAAGAAACAAGAGATCAGGATACAGAGGCAGAAGATATGAGTCAGAAGATATAGAGAATGTCAATTTAGGTAAGAAATTAAATTTGACTTGCCCCTGCAAACAGTCCTTTATATGTGATAAGTCTGAAATTTTAAAGTTGCAATGTCATTTCTGTTAATCAAAAGTTTTAGCATTTCCTATTTGCTTTCCTCTTCATCAATGGCAATATTTTTTTCTATTCAATTCAGTTCATAATCTGCATCAATGGCAATAGTTGTTTTGTTGCTCTTTGCTGCTGTTGATAATGTCAAGTGTAATGACATGTCTTCTCCATTTAAACTTATCAAGTTGAGTTCATAATCTGCATCATTGGTTGTAGTTTCTTTTTCTAAACTTTTCATTGTCTGAGTTTGTCTTTTTTTATTCTTTTCTACTGCAGAAACACAACATTTGTCTTTATGCTAGAGCTTCAAAAAAAGGCGAGTCATTGCTGAATTTCTTCTTATGATATGATGTAAAACTTTTGCATTAGTTTGTGTACTATTGTCATGGTCTCACTTGAAAGAGTACTGCATAGTTTCAACAATCTTATGTTGTTGATGCATTGACATTTTAGATAGAGGATGCCAAGCTGCAATGCTTCTTTATCAACAATCCAGGAAAAGATGGGAAAGGAATATGGGAAATGAATATGAAGGATATGATTATTAGACTCGGAGTATCGGAGAAGCAACAGGCTTTAAAGTTGGGTTCTTTTAATTTTTTTTTTTTTTTAGAAATGGTACATATAGATTTCATATAGTAATTAAATTCTAAAGCCTATGTTTATTTCAGAGAATGTAATATTTTATGTAGTGATTTTTTTTGCGTTTCTGTAGTATATTTGAATGCTCAAAACAGTAGAAAGACTAAGAGAAAATTTGTAATTATGGCACCAAAAAAATTGCGGCCAAAAATGAAAGAAACAGATAATGTTTATTTCTTAAAAAAAAAAATTTGTATCGGGTATACCAGACCACCCGACCGAAAACCCGAATAATCCGAATAATTTATTCGGTTATATATTGAATTACCTTGTGTTTTCAGTTCAGATTTACCCGTTTGTACTCGAATACCCGAACACCCGAATTCTCAAACCCGTGCACCCGCCCGTTTGACCCAATCAACAGGCTGAGATGTAGGGTTTAGTAGTTTTCATGTTTTAAGGTGGCCTCTTTTGCTTTTCTACCTCTTACGATTCAGTGAGGGATTTATTTCTAGATTAACTGTGAACACATTGTACAATGGAAGAAATATGTCTTTATTTCTCTTTTTTTGGCATTTGTACTTTAAATAAAATGAGACATAAGTGTTGAGAAAATGATACTTACATTCCAACTTTATTGTGGGAATTCAACGTCTTTTTTTTTTCGGCTTTTGTAATTTAAATGAAATCAGACATTAGTGTTGAGAAAATGAATACTTACATTCCAACTTTATAGCGGGAATTCAACATATATTGAGACGGAGAGCATTATTTTTCCATCCTACATTTCTACTCATACACTTCTTACAAGTGTCTTATTTTTGTGGGTAAGAATTAAAATACTTTTTTCGTTCTAAAATTATTGTTCAGTTTGTATTTTCACAACAAACATTTTAGTACATAAGGAGTATTTTGAAACAATGTTTAATCTCTATGGACAAGATATTATGACCGTGTTAAAAAGAAACGCTACATAATTGGATTCTATATGATCACAATGTCTACAAGAGCTCTTCATCATTGACAATAGACAAAAACACTTTACAGATCAAACATTGACTAAAAAACAAAAATCTTCAAGCCCCGAGTAAGAACAATTACAACATGAATCTCTTAATCCTATGACTCACGAGGCTTGTAAAGTGCTTCCAGAGGTTTGGATTTGCCCAAAGTCGGAACAGCTTCTCCTTCCAAATCCACCATTTCAGTCCCAACCCTTTTCCAATCAAACCTCTGAATCAACGACGCCAATGTCAACCCGATTAGCCTCATCGCCATGGCAGCTCCTGGACAAGCTCTTCTCCCCTTACCAAATGGTAAGAACTTGGAGGACCCTTCATTAATAACTCCTCCATGATCATCAAATCCTTCAAATCTCTCCGGAATAAATTTGTCGGGTTCTTCCCAAACATTAGGATTCCTATGGATAGTCCAAGCATTGACTATCAAAGTTGTGCCTTTAAGAATCCTGAATCCTCCTATTGTACAATCCTCAGATGAATAATGAGGAATTAGAGTTGGTGCTGGAGGCGAAAGTCGAAGCGTTTCGTTGATTATGCAACGCAAATAAGGTAATTTTGCGAGATCTTTATCGGATATAAGATCCCCTGGTTTCAGGTTAAGGTTGTCGATTTCATTCTTTGCTTTCTGCAGTACATCAGGGTGATTTAATATATAAGACATTGCCCATTCCAGTGTCTGAGCTGAAGTATGCGTCCCAGCCGAAAACAGAGGCTAGTGAACACAGAGGAGTAAAATAAACAGAATTCGGTTTAATTTGGAAATGCAAATATTAACAATACAACAAAGAAAATTCAATTTTCTATGTAAATTAGATGAAATTAATCAAGAAATTGGTGTTAAGAAGTTTACCAGCACAATTCCTTTGAGAATATCATCAGTGTAGTAATCAGGTTCCTCTTCTTGTAAAGACAGCAAAGTCTGAACAACTGTCTTGAACCCAGATGAAGAATTTGAAACATTGTGCTTCTTATCTTCCTGGATTGATAATCGAGCTTCATCAATCAGACTCTGAATAAACGTGTCCCTGTCCTTATGTATTTTGAGCACAGCCTTCTTCAATCCTCCATCATAGCCAATCCATCTTAAAATCGGAATATAATCGACTAAATTTGTCACCTGCTGCGGTACAAAAGAATCTGTTGTCTGATCAGCCGGCCATCTTTTTCCGGCAACCATTTTGGTTATAACATTGAGCACCAATTCCCTGAAGAAAGAATTCAAGTTCACCACTTTCCAGCAATTATTACTCTCCGGTAATACTACTTTCTGGATCATGAAACGGATCTCCTCTGTCCTCAGAGATGAGAAACGGTCAAGACTAATCCTAGAAAACACATGAATGGTGGTTACGCGGAGGAGATTACGCCAGTGATCTCCGTAAGGTGAGAGTATGATGGTGGTGTTGTTGTACCCGGCGATCTTGCCTGAGACTGATTCCGGCCGGTTCGCGAAAACGATGTCGTTGGTCTTGCTAAAGCATTCCTCTACAAGAGATGGAGATGAAACGAGGAGGGTCGGACGAACTCCGAAACGAAGAGAAACTAAAGGGCCGTATTTGATGGAGATTTTGTGTAGAGATAGATGGAAAGGGGCGTTTTTTAGGAGGTGGAGATGGCCTAATATTGGCCGCGCCGGCGGGGTTGGCGGCCGCGGCCGCAGCTGCTTCTGTTTCTTCCTCCCCCGGAGAAGGTAAACTAGTGGAATGAAGAACAAGATTGGGATTAAGATGCTATTATGGAAGACCTCCATGAAATCGACGGAGATGCAAGAACATTGACCTGGGACTTTTGGGGATGAAGTTTTTTCTTTTACTGCTCAAGATAAGTTTCTTGTGTATTTCCTGAAGTTGCCAATAAGAATCAAGTGACCTGCTATCCCGATCACGTCATGCAGCTAGCGTTTGTATAATTCACTTTGTATTTGTTTTTCTTTTTTGGAGGAGGGGAATATAATAATTTGGCTCATTTAGACGTTTTTCTTTTGTTTTTTTTTTGTTGTTGTTGTTGTTTTCTCCAACACACCAGTAGAAAGGATCTAGACAACCTCATCAAAGTGGCCCATTTAACTCCCATTTTTAATAATGTGGAAAAAGTCCAAATCAAATAGACTTTTGGCTATTTCTGAATAATTTTTGCATTTGAGCATGTGCTAAATGTTTTGTCTTGGGGGAAAATTGGAAACTCACCATCAAATCTGGCGTAAGAAGTGACGAATCTTGTTCGAATTGTTTTAGACCTTTTTTATTTGGATAATGGAGAAGGCAGATTATTTTTGTCTTTTTATAACAATTGATCTCTGGTCATACCTCAACATCCACATAGTATTTTCTCCATTTTTTTGCCCCAAATGGAAGCTCGATTAAGAAATGGAATGAGATGAGGAGTAATAAACTTGATGTTATCTAGCATTGTTTCTTTAAGCATCGCCTGATGTAACATTATACTCGAAGGAATGAAAACTGAGTATTCCGCAACGCGCTTGATGTGTCTGCAAATATGGTAACTAACTATCTTTATCTGTCTGATAAGAATCAAGTTAGGCTGGCCACCTGAAAGGACAAAGATATGACTTTAAGAAATCTAGAGTTGTTAGAGAGAGAACAAAAGGCGGAAAAGATGTGTACTGAATTATTACATCAATCGACCATCAAACAGGAGGTGATCACTTGCGTACACACATAAAGCACAAGCAGAACCTACAACTTTCACATTCAAACACCTTGTCGTCAAACATCAATTTCCGACAAGAATCGCATCTGGAATGAAAATCGCCATCACAGACTAATGTCAGAGGATGCGGATGCCGGTCAACTGTAACAGTGCCACCAAAAACAAAGTTCCGGTACCGGACTCGAGGGATGCAGCTAGGGTGAAAAGACTGATCACATTGTCCACAATAATAATGCCAACATTTGGGATGAATTTCTTCTTCGCAAATCTCGCAATAAAAGTTACCAGGACGATTATTGAAAGGCGGAAAGCTAAGCATAAGCGGATGCTTATCCCACCTATGGGTAATAGTCGCCGGCAGTGTAAGACAATCATAATCCAAGTGGAAATTGCAAGCGAAACAGGAGTAATACAGCCATTTGCGATTGTGAGGGTCCCGACAAGAATTGCATGGGAAATATTCAGGATAGTTTATCTCATAATCCGGCATTGATGATGGATACGAAAGATTTGAAAGAGGGTGTGGATGTGCTTTGTGGATTATAAATGCAGGCAAAACAGCACATTTGACATCCGAACAAAAACCCGGCGAGCTGCAAGTATGGCACTTGTAAGAGCAGCCATCGGAGTCCAAATGACAATAATCACACTTGAAAGTTTCCCATAGCAAGGGAAACCAGATTAAGTTCATCGTAATGATACGTCAGCAGTGTTTTGTTTCCGGAACCCGTCTTTTCCGGCAACATAGCACATGTATCGTGGACAAAGTAATTGCAACATGGGCATTTGAAACACGATGACGAGGACGACGATGGAGAAACATCGATCGGCCCGATGCAACGGTTGCATGTCACGATCAGTTCCGTGTTTATTAACTTCGGATCATTCAGGGTAACAAGATCAAGGGGATGTCCACAACTACTACTGATCGCCGTCGTCGTTATGTCCGGAATTGGAACATCTTCCGGTTGCTTGTGCAATACTTGTCTGATCACTTCCACAAAGTTGGCTGTTGGGAGTTCGATCGAATCCTCCGGTAGTAGTGACTCCTTTTCTATGAGAATTAGTCCGACCTAAAACACAGGTCAAGAGCGAGTATAATAGTCCCCCTCATTAGTATGTTTTGAGCAATACACATAGACCAGTTTATAAGTAAATTAGACACAAAACATTTCATCTTAAAGTTTAGGTCGGCTCCTATTTAGTTAATTAATTTGGGGGGAAAAAACACTTATCCATGTTCTAATAGTGAACTTAATTTGTTGAACAATGCAACCAAGAAAACTCTTATTTTAAGACGGATATAGTATTTTAATTGGCTGAACCACTGCTCTCAATTAATTAACCACAATTTATACGGGAAATAGTAACCGAAATAATTGGATTTATTTATATATTAACCAATTCAGATATCAACTCATGCATGCATGATAGATTGAGACGTAGAAGAAAGGGCAAGTTACGGCAACTTAAAAATACATAATCCTTTGTCCGAAAATTATTATCCATTTTAAACTTTCTGGACGGAGAAAGTACACACACATATATATATACTAACCGTTGTTGGGGTTTCCCAAAGCAGCCGAGATGAAAAATGCACCTACAAAGGTCACAATTTTACACCAAGTTGTGAGACGGGATCTCCTTGAAGCAAAAATCACAGGGAATTTGAAGCCTCCGGTACTCAAGGGGAACACCATACGAGAGGGAAAAGGGATGATCATGATCGGGCGAATAGTTGATTCTCGGCAACATTACGCAATCCAAGTGAACCCAGAACCTACAAGTGATACAAACATACGACAGCTGTTTATCTTCTCCCTCTAACCCACAAGCAGCACATGTAAACCTGGAAGCCCTCGGCATAAGTTGCAGCGGGTGTTTCTCGTGACATGGATGACGATTCAATCGGGCCTCCGCGAAAGCGCACGTGGCGTGCAAAAAAACAGCATCGCATTCACAACAACGGTGCGAGAATATTCCGGTTTTCTTACAACACTCTCGGCTGCATCCGCAGCAATCGAGTTTTCCGCGGTCGGATATTGGAATCGGTGCGAGCCTGAGGTTATGCTGAGGATGGAAAGGATGCTGCAAGATCATCCTCGGAAGCTCGGCCCATTGTGGAGAAAGATTTCGCAATGCTCACAACGGAAACTTGGTTCGGTTGCTTTGTAATGTAACGGCCTTCCGCAGATACTACAACAAGCAGAAGATTCACGATCACAGTAACTACATTGTTGTAGTGATTCTCCACAGCCACAACAAGATAATATGGATGTCGTCGTAGACATCTTCATCATCATTAATTGTGAACTGTGATCGTGGTCACCGCCATATGTTGCAGTGATTTGATCAAGTTTTATAGGACGAAGAAGGCCTCTTTTTTTTTGCTTGCTTATTCTATGCCTTTCTTAGGTTTTAAACTTGCAAAAAATCACTTGGCCTCGAATAACTTCACTCCTCCAATAGTCCCAACTTTAAGAAATTTTTCATATTCCCTTTTTTCAAGTCATACTTGTGCTATAAACTTATGGACCTACTCGAAAAGGCTTGACGACCTTGCTTGAATTACTCAGGGCAATAATCTCCAACACCGGGTGTGTATTAAAAAATACAAAGAGGATCGAGTGTGGGAGTCACATTAAAACTAGATTAATCTGATTGGGAAAGAATGATTCCAAAAATAATTTTTTACTCATTCCAGACCTTGGTGTTGCTCAGCTATCAAAAAAGGAAAAGGAATTGATTAAAGACAACTTTATTCCACAGCCAGTTACTTCTTTCTTGCCTCTAATTTCACGTAACAAATCTTTATATTCTCTCTATTTTTTTCATAAATTCCCACGCTTAAAAAAAAAGAGAAGAAATTCTATTTGAATAATGGAATCCCTCTGTAGTCCTAGTAAACTTAAATGACATTACGAATTGTATAGATGTCTTCTTCTTCTTCTTCTTCTTCTTCTTCTTCTTCTTTTTTTTTTTTAATTAATTTATCATTTCGATTTCACTTTGTATGCATCCATCATACATAGTTCCGTTCCACTGAGTTAAGCTTCTTACATGGTTTCAAACTTTCAATTACATAATGTTACCAGTTACATTCTGGGAAGTTCAAAGGTTGGTGAATACTTCGATAGTTTGGGATTAATTAGTTATACTAAACCTTGGACTAAAAATATAAGTAGCTAATCTGATTTAATTTGATTCTACGCGGCAATGAATTTGATTTAACAAATAGGTCATCATCATCGAATATAATGTCACAAAATAAATTTTTTTTTTTGTAGAAATATGTCACAAACTAAGTTGGTGCATCTACTAATCCAAATTCGAGACTAGTAGAGCTTGTAGTTTTTTTTTTTTTTTTTAAATGTATATTAAGCACCTACTGCCCAAATTCAGTGCCGCTACTAATTGGTATTCGAGGTATTTATTATATTAGGTGATTAGTGTCCGAAGCCAGATTGATTCGAGTCTGATAGGATTTATAATGACTTTTTGATTGCAAGCCAGAGCCATTAACACTTCATTGGTCGATTGAACTTACTACAGGATATTGAACCCTGGAAACTTATACTCCCTCTGTCCCATAATTATTGTCCACTTTGCCCAAAAAATTTTGTCCCAAAATTATTGTCCAATTTGACTTTTTATGGATCAAGTTACACATTTATCCTTAGTAAAAAACATTATCCATAAAATCTTAGTGGTTAAACAATTACTTATGTAGAGGTATATCCGGTTGTTTAAGGTAAAATATAGTTAAGTTTGACCAAAAATAAAATCTTTCATTTTAATAAAACTGGACAATAATTATGAGACGGAGGGAGTACATAAGTATTTTCTACAAGAGGTACTAAATAAGCTTGCGTTTTATGGGTGGTAACTAACGAAGCTTTTTTTTTTTTTTGCATTTGTCTAGTCATATCGCCGGTTATCTGCTATTCCCTCCTACTCTGACATTGAAATGTTCTTTTCGATCTTTGTTTTTCGCCTTTCGATATGAATTCAGTAGTTGACAGGGTGGAGTTTTGTTTATGCAAAGTTACACATATCAGCAATGCTTTGTTACTTTTGTCCGCGACTTCCTCAGGCAGATCAAGTCTTTCTCACAAATCAGCCTGTTTTCTTATTAAATAGTCCCTTTGCTGACATGAAAGATTCAAGAATCTGGAATAACTAATATACTAGGATGGAACAAAGATCAAATTCGAAAATCTGCCCGCTATAGTCAACTGTGTATTCAAATCTGCTGCCTTCTTCTTCTTCGTCTTTTTTTTTTTTTTTGCCTTTCACTTCCATTTCCTCTGCTGCTTCAAACATGAATCAGATGATGGAACAGTAGGATCTAGATTGCGAGAATTTATTGGAAGCAATTTTTATAATAATTTGATTCATTTAGACGGTTAGCTTCTTTTTTTTGTGCGTGTGTGTGTGTGTGTGTGTGTTTTCCCCCTCCAAGACACCAGTAGAAAGGGATCTAGGACATCATCACCAAACACATCTCCTCTGTCTGCGAGGAATATTGGAAAAAAAGAAAAAGAAAAAAAAATTAGCATTTGTATCGTAGTGGAGATTATATGGCAGTAATCTCAGTAAGGCCAGAGTATAAGGTTGTATTGTTCAGCTCTTGAATTGTTTGTGTAAGTAGTGTTTATGATTCCAGTTCGTTGTCCATGCTTTCTCCTTCTTCTTCTTCTTCTTCTTCATATTTCACAGTAGTATTTTCTTCTCCTCAGCTACAACACATCTGGAATTCTGGATCATAATTCACAAGAGTTCAGACCCTGGCGAATCTCGAATATTACACAAAGGGACCAAAGAAAATGGATATCATATAATTAGCCAAGAGTGGTAACTTATGGCTAGAATATATAGTTGCAGATTGCCAGCAGATATAACACAAGTCTCATAAACCAAATTGATTTGACCAACTGAATAGATGGATATGTCAGAGATTAGTTAACTTGATCTTGCTCCATTCCTTGTTAGTTTTCAGAATATTGAAACAATCTTGAGTATACTTTTTCATTATGTCACAAAATTTATCATGCAGCCAACTTAGACCCTTGAGCTGCCTAAGGAATCCGCTGGCAAAACTAAAAGGCAAATGCTGATTGCTTTACACAAAGCAAACTCCACATTAATCATACATGCAGGATCGAACCAAGCAAATTCCTTGGACAGATTAATTATGTCAATTGAGGTCATTCTTAACAGGTTGATCACATGGCCGCCGGGAATTGATAGGTTTGTGTTGGAATAGATAAACTGACGAGCCGTTGTTTAGCTAATCAAATAACATTAACCTACTCAAAACAATAAACATAGTATAATGGAGTGGGGTCGATCTCACAGGGAGGAAAACCAAATTACCAAAACATTAAACTTACTCTATTATTTAGATAAACAAATGACCGAGAGATTTATATTAACAAAAATAACACATTAATTAAAGGACTCTAAATAACAAAATAAACACACAAAAAACATAAACAAGGAAATTAATTTCACCAGTGAAATTACTTCACATAATTTAATTATCAATCATTATATTGTTGGTTCTATTAATCTCACAACAATTCTTAAGATTAAGAATTATACACTCTCGTGTTATAATTTTTCTTACTCATATTAACCCCATGACTATCCTCGTGACTATAGTTATTAATATGAGCGCATTAAGATTATAGGAATCTATAGTTGCAAAGGTAATGGTCTTACTCTCGTAGCATACTTCCCAAGTCTATTATTTCCACGAATTATTGTTAATTTTCAACTCTCGCTCTATCAATTAATAACACCTTTAGACATATAAATATTGGCCAGATATACGAATGAACACCAAAAAGAACAAATATTGATTGAATAGAAAATCCAATAATTTCAAATCAAAAGGTTAAAAGATTTAATGATTATATCAAAATCCAACAAAATAATTACTCTAAACATATTTAGTAATAAAGAACACATAATAAAAATAAACTAACAAAACGGGAGACACGACTAGTTTCGGGAACAATTTTGGGACGACAAGGGCGGTCGCCCTGCCTTTGATCCTTCACCAATCCGGCCTCTTTAATTTGTGCTTGAGGGGCTGCTTTTATAGATGAATTTGGGTCGGTTGTTCCAGTCCCAAAAACAAGTTGAGATTTTGTTTCTTCTCCTCGTTTCTCCTTTCACCAAGAGAAGTTGGAATTCTTCTTCTTCACAACTCAAACAAAATCACCCACTTGCGCTTCCGCTTGGTTTATCAACTTGTAATGTTGTGGGCTTTTCTCCATTTAATATTTTTGGTCTGTTTTCTTCTTTTCTGTTCGGCTCTTTAATGACTAAAACCCATCAGATTTATTTTGCACAAATATGAAATTCTTGGCCCAAGATCAAATTAAAGAGTGATGATACACAACTCACTTAATTTATCTCATCTTCTTATCTCACTTTACATGGCATTTAGTTATTGGATGAAATTTAATAATCTAATTAATTATTAGATAAAATATAATAAGTTAATACAATTATGTTTTTTGTTAGATTCATTTATTTTTTGAATACTTCTATCTAAAATTTTACAATAAATAGACCCTAACCCCTAAAAAAGTAAACCCTTTAGGGTAAAACTATAACTAAACAAAATATAATCAGTAAGCCGAATATTAATAAGAAAAACATTTATATTTTAATTAAATTATATAAATTTAAATAATAAATGCATTGCCTAATCAGTAGATGCCATGTAAAGTGAGATGATAAGGTGAGTTATTTAGGTGAACTGCCTATCATTATTGTAAATTAAATCCATGCCATGGCCCATCTTCATTTTTTTTCTTCTTTCTAAGTCCAACTTCAAGGTTCATTCTGACTTCTTCTTCCAAATCTCAACCCAAATTCAATTAAAAATCCAAGAATTCAGCATTTAAGGATTATAATACATCGTCTGTTCTGCTTCTCCTTTCTCCACCAAATGGCCTGGTGAGTTTCATTATTTCTTCCACCCTCTTTGATTCCTCAGTGTGACCGGACTTTGAACCAATTTGTGATTCTTAGCTAACTTCGGATCAATTTGTGGATTTTTCAATGTGGTTTCGAGAAGATTTAATTTTCTAGATTCGGAATTACAGGATTATAAAATGATTTTTTACATAAACAACAGAGTTTAGAGATCGCCTTAGCGACAGGGGAATCATGTTCACGATGGCAAAAAGAAGGTCCGCTTGTACTTATGGCTTCGCTGCTTCCAGGAACACTCTGCCCCAGATCCTGAAATCATTGTTATCATCGTCTTCCTCAGATATTCTTGCTACAGCTAAATTCTCCATATCCGTCTCCGAATTTTATCTTGGCCTTTCAATACTCTGCTTCAATTAGCATTTAGCAGTGGTAAGACTTCTAAGTTGAAACTTAACAAGTCTGGCATGGATGATATAAACAAACTACAAAATGCTGATGAAGGTTTGAGTATTTACAATCAGATGGTCCAAATGAGGCCTATCCCTTGTCCCACTGATTTTCATAGACTCCTTGGGGCTCTTCTGGTTCTGGATGGTCCTTCATTTGTAATTACCATTTTCCAAAATATGGTCGCTAAGGGTATCCGGTTTAATCAGGACCACGAAACTGATCATCCAATGTTGCAGCTGGGAGGGTAAACTAGCTTCGGGAGTTTTTATGGTAGGAGCAATGGTCAAGCGCGGAATCGTGCCCAGGTTCTCCGACATTATCTCCTTGTTTAGGGGGATTTTTCAACAGCAGAGGATCCGCGAGTTGGAATGCTTGTTCAAAAAAATTGCAGATGAAGACGGTGGAATGTGGGATGTTTGTGAAAGTGTGATCAAAGGGCTCTGCGAGACTGGAAACTCAATGGAAGCTGTCAAGGTTCTTAGAGTCATGGAAAAAGATGACATGACACCTGAGAAACATGTCTATGAGAACATTGTTAACGGCCTCTGCAAGTAGTCGAATCTTGGTGAAGCTACTCGTCTCATGCAGAAAATGATGGAGAATGGATTTCCACCGTCCTCTTCCAATTACAATACATTGGTTGAAGGTTTGTGTAAACTGGAAAGAATGGATGAGCTCAAAAAGGTTTTGGCTGATATGCGGGAGTTTGGATTGGCTCCTGACTTGCTCACTTGTAAGATCGTCATTGATTCACAGTGTAAGTACGGATGGATTGATTCGAAGGTTGTGTTTGAAACTATAATTGAAAGTTGTGAGTTCCCTCGCAGAATCATATACAATATGCTGATAAAAGCATACTGTTGTCGCAACCTAGTATGTGAAGCAAGAAAAGTTTTTCAGTCCATGGTGTTTCGTGGTGTTCTTCCTGACATTGTCACCTATAATACATTGATGGATGGGTACTTCAGAGTTTTGAAACATGAGGAGGCTATGAACATGTTCCAAGAGATTTCGGTTAAGGGTTTGACTCTTGATGTTGATACTTACACCATCGTCTTGAAGGGAGATACAACCTGATGTCTCCACTTATTGTGTAATGCTAGATTGTTTTTGTGAGAGTGGAAACGTTGCGGAAGCTTTGAGCTTTTTGAATAAGCTGGAAATGGATGGAGTGGAGCTGAATATAGAAGTCTACAATACCATTATTGATGGTTTGGGTCAGAGAGGGGAAATTGATAGCGCAAGGGATATTTTAAACAGTTTATCTAACAAGGGGTTGGTTCCTGACGTAGTCACATTTAACAATATGATGACGGGCCTGTTCGCGAAAGGTCTAGCGGAGGAAGCATAACAACTTCTTGCCCGAATGGAACAAAATGGGTGCCAGGCAAATGAAGCTACTTACAACATCATTGTGACTGGACTTTTGAACTCGGATGAAACTGATGATGTTCCAATTTATCTCGAAGAAATGATTAAGAAGCAAGATTCTCTTTGAATTCATATAACTCGGAAAAAGTATCTGAGTTCAGTCCTGAGAATGACATGATTCGTCAGAAGTTAGATAAGTTTGCACTGCAAATGCTGTATAGATGAAATAAAGATTAAACTGAGTTTTCGAAACTCATCAGCTTCAGCGTATCTCCAAAGCCTTAGCAGCCGATTTGAGGACTTTTTCCCAATGCCTTTCAAGTTGTAACTCCGTTTTTTTGTAAGGAAACAATATGTTGATCTGAGAGAATGTATTTCCTTGATTTGTTGAATCATTCCCGTAGTAAGATGTATTTAAACGTTAATTGTGTAAGCGTATAGGTTCTCACTTAACCCTTGGAAGCAAGCTTTTCTGTATAGTTAAGCTTAAGTTTTTCCGCATTTATCTTGCTTTGGTAATTGAATGGTAAAATGACTGACGCCTTCAGTTGTTTTTGCCTCTTGTCCGAAATTAGGAGGAAATGTGGTTGTAGACTTTTAAGCAACGGCTTCTCATTTTCGTCGACAGACTTAACGCAGATGAGGAATCTAAAACAAGTTTTCGTCTGAACGGAATGGACGCCAGACAAATGAAGATGCTTACATTACCATTGTATATATCTGGACTTTTTGAAGATACATTTAATCGAATGCAATTTATCTTGAAGAAGAAATGATTAAGAATTGAAGGGTTCTATTTGAATACATTTTTAACTCAGAAAAAGGGTGTTGAAACTGGAGATTCTTCAGAAGATTAAACTGGGTGTTTCTGAAACCCATCAGCTTCAAAAGGACAATGCTATCAATGTCTCTCCATGGTCCATTCAAGAACTTCTATTTGTGGATTGCATGGATCTCTCTTTTCCCAATGCCTTTCAAGTTGTTCTGACTCAGTTTTTGTATGAAACAATGTGTAGCTCTGTTCATTACTGTCAAAGAAGAGAGTGGATCATCTTAATTTGGTATTCATTTCCCGTTTTAAAAGTTAATCCTCTACAGCATATAGCTTCTTTCTTTACCCTTTTGAATCAAGCTTCTTTGTTAGTCTTCATTTTTTGTGCATTTAGGAGGGAATTAGGAGGAAAACTCTGATTTATTTCCATACGAGACACAGGAAAGATGCAGCATTTTTCTTTAACTACCAACTCAAATGAAGATGGAAATACAGATAGTACCTCCATACATTTAAGTAGTAGCTAGCAGCCTAAAGAAATCCCCACAACATCATTTGATAATGACTTTGAGATCTGAATTTCCGCAATCTTCCACCTGTTTTTCCTGGATTTGTCTCACCATATTCTCTACATTCTCAGAACAATGATGGACCTTAATAGTTTCAAGTGTCGCTATGGACTCTAAACAAGAAGGGATCTCTTCCAAAGAACAACAATAACGAATCTTCAACGTCTCAAGACATTTGAACTGGTCATCAGAAGCACTCCACTTGACAAGGTTAAAGGAATCCAGTTTCAAGATTCTGAGTTTTGAGAATTCTCCTTCCTCCATTTCCCATGCATTCCCTTCAAAGTCTACACTTACTAATTTGAGGACTTGAAGATTTGGCAGTGTACCAATCATTGAGATACTCCTTGACGACAAGTCACATGATTCCAATGTCAACTTTTTCAGACTTTTGGGGCAGCTAAATTCAGGTGTAAGCTCAGGTAAAAATCCTCCAATAGAAAGGGATTCTAATTGACTCAAAAACTCAGGGACTACAAATGTGCCGGGATTCTCTGGATTCTGATGCCCCATATATGTGCATCCCAACCTGCGGATGTTGGGAAACTTTCTTGCCAGCCTTTCCATGATGCCCCAGTGAGGAATTAACACCATAGAGAATCTATCCAACTCATATAGAACAGGTAAGCTGTCAAGACTCTCTATAGGCAAAATACCACCACCATCACTCAAACGACCTATGTAAAGATTCTTCAATTTCCGTAGATTCCAAAGACTGGCTGGCAGTAGAGGTTTTTTAAAAGTTATCACAATAAAAGTTTCCAAGTAAGAGAGCTTACCTATCGATGGCGGGATTTGCTCAAAGTCACCATGAATTGCCAGAAATGCCAATTGAACAAGCAGTTCTATTTCACTTGGCAACTCAGTTTGCAGATGGATTTGCCCCAAATCCAAAACTCTTAGACGTTTGAAGATGTCAATCACAAATGAGATACTTCGCACCCGGTGTAGTGGGTTAGGTTCATCAGAGGAGTGGTAAAGCAGAGAGCGCGCCCATGGACAAAACAGTTTTGACTGAGCGAAATGCTCTTCCTTGGAGTGAATGCTTAACCTCCGCAGTTTGCATGGCTCATTAAATGTTGAAAGCTCATCATATCCTTTTAGAAGGTGGAAAAAGTGTTCATCTTTGGCTTTCTTTAAACAAAAATCATAAATCAAGTCATGGATGCGGCATGTTTTGACTCCATTGTCCCATCTTTTTTTGTCGACCATGATCAAGCTTCTACCAATTAAATCCATAAGGTAATCTTCAGCGACATCTTCTGCTCGCTTCCCCTCAGCTTTCCGAATGAATCCTTCCGCTACCCATAGATGAAGCAACATCCTGGCTGAAACCACTTCATCTTCTGGAAATGTACCTAAATACAGAAGGCATGGCCTTAAATCTTCTGGTAAGTGTTCATAGCTGCGCTCCAATGTTTCTAGACAGTGATCTGTAACAGACAAATGGCCCAAGCGTAGATCATTCAAAATTTCTTTCCAACCCTCTGGCATTATAGTTACTAGAAGCCCAGCAATTATTATGATTGTAAGTGGTAATCCATTACAAATTTCAGCAATTTGCATCCCATGTTCATGCAATGCAAGATGCCAACCAGCAACTCCAGGGAACTTCATATGTAATAACTTCAGACTTTCTTCCATATTCAGCTGTCGAAGGAAATGAGGTTTTTGGTCAACTAACATCTCATTAGGAGAAACATCACCACGGCGACTTGTCAAAAGTATTCTGCTTTGGTTATGGTCTTCAGGAAAAGATTCTCTCAGGCTGTTCCACGCTTCAATGTCCCATATGTCATCCAAAACAATCAAATATCTCTTTCCCTTTAAGCTGCGCCACAACTTTTCAATGATATCATGTTCACCCATCTCAGAAGTCACATCTGAAGTGCCTATCTGATTTAAGAGCTCACATAACACTTTCTCTTTGTTAATTACTTGTGAGATAGTGGACCATGCACGCACTTGAAAATGGTGCACAATAGAGGGATCATTGTAAATTTTTGCAGCCAAAGTGGTCTTCCCCAAGCCTGGCATGCCCACAATGGCCATCATCCGCAATAGCTTGGTTCCTCTTGTCAATTGATCTATGATTGATTTTGCTTCATCTGCAAAACCTACTATCTCATTGGTTCCGATCGAAGAGCTTGTTTGTGCTTGCACATGTCTGTAGCTCCAGGTTACTTCAGTTACTTTGATATCTTGTCTCTTGACTTCCATTTCAGGCTTAATGTTTCTCAAGTCTTTCATGATGGAATCAAATGATGACCAAAAAGAATCAGGAACATCACCAACCACTAAGAGGTCAACGAGTTCCTCAACCCTACAAGCCATCTCCATAACACGATCCCAGAGAACTTGAAGTTCTACTTGTTGATATCGCAGCTTCACAATCTTCCCCAAGAAAGCTCTTAAGGAGACAAGTTCTTTTTGAATAATTTGCACAGGCTCGCTGTTGGCAGTTGGTTCACCTTCATGACTTGTGATCTCCATCAGCTTTTCTAGAACAAAATCAAAGAAACCCAATTGATTCGTCACTGGGAGGTTTAGTTGTGGTAGTTGTGGTTCTTCATCTCCAACTTCTGCCAGTAAACTTTTGATGGTTTCCAATAAATCCTGAAGAAGCCCAAGGTCTACATTTGTCTTGTGCAGTAAGGAAACCAAGACGCCAGCATCACATATTGCAGCTCCAATGTCTTTCTTAATGTTGCTGCGCCACTGTGTCTTGAGAATGGTTTTTCTCAAGGATCTAAGAGCTTCAAATAGCTGTTGTGGTTGATCTTTCATGAAAACCAACCGACCAGAATTCATCCGTAGAATATCCCAAAGACTTGGTATGATACAGTTAAGGGCTTTCTTGATTGCAGTGAAGGCGTCATCATCATCAATGTCTTGCAGAGTAATAGCAAGTGATCGTCCAGGAAACTTTGAGCTGCTCAGGGCTTGACTGTAAATCTCATAAAATTGATGTTGACGATTCTTCATTTTTTCGGCGATTGTTGAAATCTCAACCTCCAATCTTTCCTTAGTTTGCGCAGTAGACCCATAAAAATCTTCATACAGATAAAGAAGAAATGCAGCATTGAAAACAATGGCTTCAGTGTGAACCAACAAGTCTTGCATGGCTACAACACTCCTTTGGTGGGCAAAGCAGACGTGAGCATTCAATAACGTCATCTGCTCCTCAACAATTTTCATTGAAATTTCAAATCCTGAAACGTTTTCGGAATCGTAGTTTCCCAAGAGAGCGATAAAGTCCTCTATATTCTGTAACATGCAGCTAATGATTTTGAATAATTCATTTGTTGTAAGAGAAGTTGATTGCTGCCTTGCAGGGTCTGAAAGAGCCACTAACCATTCTTTTGGTTCTTCCATCAAAGACTGAAGTTGACTGCAGAACTCATAGGCCATATCAATGGCCATTCCAGCATCACTACCAGCCAGATGAAGACAAAGAGGGTGAAATTTCTCTGCATTTCTGCAAATAGTATCTTCAACCCTCCCCAAAAAAGAAGCTAGACTTGCATCCTCACCCAAAACTCCCTCAGAAAGAACAGCAAAAATTTTGAGATTCCTCAACCTAAATTTGAGTAGGTTACACAAATCATCATCCACAGCATGGAGGGAAGGATGTTTCAGCAGCAAGTCAATATCAAGTAAGCTGAACTGAATGCAGGCAAGAAGGGAGGAGCAGGCCATGTTAACTACTTTAACTTTATCTGTTTTTAGAGGGAAAATGCAACAAAAGAACAAAATGATTATGGTGAGTTGCTGCAATCTAGTAAGGAAAGGAAAGTTAAAAAAGACGAAGAGATGGGAACAGATCAAAGCTAACCTTTCTTCATTGAAGCGTCATGGTTCAATTGATGGAGCTGTTGAACTGGTCCCAAGTCTCTAACTGAAATGAAACTTGCCACAACTTGCCTTTTAGTTAGCTCTTTGGTTGCTTTCACTAAGATAAATTCTGGTGGGGAAACTGATAAGAATTGGTCTTCACTCTCACCTTCCATTATAAAGCATGGACCACGAATTAAATATGTTCTATGCTTTTTTTCTCTAGACTTTACTAAATTATTATTTTAAAGCAGCCTTCGTGGATATTTTGCAATCATATGGAGAGCAGATATTTGTCTTAATCAACAATGCTTTTGTCTATACAAGTAGTTTGATGTTATTGCTCTTTTATATAGTGGCAAGAATGATCAAACTATCATGAGACTATACAGTATCAACTAAGCAATTAATACTAACATTTGGAGCATTAAGAACTAAGAAAAATTCAATCTTCATGCCAAAAAAAAAAAAAAAAGTTCAATCTTCACGCCTTGGCAATACTTCAAAAAATACTCAGCTAATTAAAATACACATACCACAAAAAGACGATTAATCTCATGAATTAACCCAAGACACCCTAAAAAAAGTAAAAAGACAAAAGAAAATGTGGACTGAAATTATATAGATACCATTTCAGCAACAAAATCAGGTCCATCTCATCTGGAAACGGCAAACACCCTCGATCATATGTGTCTCTTCATGGGCGTTAGTAAATCTGAACTTGTTCTTCAACTGCTTAACTCTAGCAAACCTGTCCCACGTTTCCATTATAGAAGGTTTTGTCTCGGGAGATCTGAGGATAGCTGTGTGATAATGTCCAAAGAGGATGGGTGCCAGAGAACCAAATGGATATCCGATGCTCACGTAAGGGATCACTTGATCAACCAGGTCTAACTGCAAAGAGTGCAATTGGCACCCTGTTCTACCAGAATGATAGTGACCAGGGTAAGAATGAATTGAGTTGAAAAGCCATATGACTAAATAAAAGTCAATGATGGCTGCTGAATGTTATATCATGTGAAAAGAAGAACAAGCAGAAGATTCCAGTTACTGCAGGATATATCAATGAGTTAAAATACAAATGCTAATCAGTTTCTAATGCGTGAGCTTTCAACGAACCTTTAGTCAGTTTGAGTTGTCATAATTTTCCATTTGTTTGATGGTCTCCACAGTATAATTCCAATAGCAATCATCAAACAGGCCTTAAAATTTAATCCTGAGTGTGAATGGAACAACAATGCCACAACGAGCTCGAGGAGACCATATTTTTATTCATCCAAAAAATGCATCGCCCTAAGCCTATCAAAGCTATAGACCTGAACAAAAAAAAAAAAGAACAAAAAGCACCGAAGGACCTGATAAGCCACAGTAAAACAATAAGTTCTAGAAGTATGAGAATCATACTTGTTTTAACATGATAAGAAACCAGTAGGATTCAGGAAGAAAGAAGCACAATACTCACTTCCAGTAGCATGATTCAATCAACTAGACCACTAATACCAATTATCAATGTGACATTAGCTCAGCAGATCAACATCATTCTAGAAACAAAAGTAGGTGTCACTAGTAGGGGGTAAGTGGGGAACCACTATTGATCCCTTAAAAAATAAATAAATAAATAAATAAAATAAAATAAAATAAAATAAACTAGGTGTCACTAGTATCCACAATGGCTACCATTTCGGTATAAGCAGAAAATTAGCAATAGATTCAGCAGTTAAAATCCAGCAGCTCTGACTGATGGTTAGATTTATGGTTTGTAAAGGCTGAAAGTTGTCTATGAAGATCCTTTTGTTCAAGGGCATGCTTACCTGATAGGCTGAAACTAACTATCTACAACTAATTTCAGGAGTTACCAGGAATTAGGTACCTCATGAATAGCAATTAGATAATACTCAATGGGGTACTTGTCCTGAATCAAGCAAATATACCTTCATTACGTGCCATTAAGCAACTGACTATAGGTCTAAATTCATTACTGCAAAGACAATATTTGATGTCTAGAGAGCAACTGCAGCAGTGAACGGTTAACATTTTCGACAATATCAGCATGCCAATATCAACAATGAGAACTAAAAAGGGCTTCAATCAGTAAGATTCAAGAACCCAAAAACCTTGTATGAGGTTTAGACCAAGATAGTCATTCACACTCAACAATCCCATAATTCTGCTGGACATTTTCATGAGGACCATAGATCACGTCGAATGAAACTCATTTTTCTACTGTAAACAACAGTTGGCATTGATTACTTTGACGAAGTTCTACTTCAACATTCACGTACAGAGTGATCTGACTCAAAATCAAACTAATTACTTTGTCCCATCAACATGAATAAACATGTTATATAAATCTCTACCTTCAATGTTTACGATCATAACAACCACACAACCTAATTTTCAGAAACTATGGCCGCAGTGCAACATGCTACAGTAAGCTAGTAAATAGCAGTGAATCATTCCCCCGAAACTAACTACTTGATTCTTTTAGTACCTCAAACAATCAACCGGATCCCCAGTTCTAAGTTGCATACTACAACACGTTGATAGATAGATATATTAAAAAGTTTAATCTCTCGTTTCAAGCATGGAACAAACAAGAGCTGTAATAACAAAAGTAAAAACCTCTCCAACAACAAGAGCTACAAGTTCTTCAAATTAAATGCAAGTTGTACAAAACTAAAGAAAGCAAAGTTAAAACGGGTACCTGAAGAATTAGACCCAACCAAAATCCGACTTGACAATTCTGAGAACCGCATCTGCGGACAGCAACCACTTAATTGAATTCCGTGAACCCAATTAAAGAAGGCTTCCCAGTAGATCTCCCAACCCCTCCGATGCCAAAAGTCTCAGCTTTATAGCGTTTTCTTGCCAACCCACTTGCAATCCCTTTCAGAAGACCTTGATAACCTCCAAGAATTGAGTGTGGATGCACCAAATTATGTTCTCATTTTCTTAATACTCTCCTCCTCCTCTTTATCTTATTCTTCTTCCTCGCCTCTAGGTGTGAAAATCCTAGAGTGAAACTGAACCCATTCAGTGGTATTAACAACAGTGAAGGATTTTACTGAACAAATCAATTGGAGTTTTTTGTGGCGGTGGAGCCTTTTTGAAAAGGAAATGGTGGCTTTTTAGTGTTTTTTTGTTTCTCTTTAACTCTGCCAGTCTTTCCAAAAATGTACTTCCTCCTTTTCAAAATAAGTGTCGTTTTAGCAAAATGAAGAAATTTCAAAATAAGCGTCGTTCTCACATTTTAATGCATTTTTTGTCCAAAATTTCCAAAATTACCTTCAAAACAATTAATACTATTGGTGGACATTGTTTTAATGGGGTTAGTTGAGGATATTCAAGTAATTTTGTTACCCTAATTAATAGTTTCTTAAACACTGTGCAAAGTGTAGGATAATATTTATTTTGGAATGGAGAGAGTACTAATGAACTATGAATAGTTTACAATAAGCTAATAATCTTATTCCCTTTTTTTTTTCCTTTCTGTTAGTAATAGCTAAAGAAATTTAAAGGTTAATTTATTCAAAGGTTAATTAAAAGGAAGTACTTTATGCCATTACTATCGTTTTTTTGTGGGAATTTAATATGAATTTTCAAGTAAGATGATGCCAAAATGTAAATAGATACATGTTCCAATGCATTAGAGCTAAGATACTTTAGAATAATGCCTATTTATTACAATCAAAATTTGATCATATCATGTAATGATATTTACAAATTTGGAATTCTTATTTCTTATTTCTGCACAGTATATCCATTGAGAAATACACTTACAGATGATCAAATATTAACTACCATGCATTTTGTTATGACAAAAATCTTCAAGTTCCATTAAGAAATATCTTTGTCCATGTTTGCGTGAAAATTGTGCATCCGAAACCGTGAGAAAAAAGGAACAAACATCACTCAAAATACAATTAAATTAGACGATTGTGGTTGAGTTCGAACTGGCCTCGGACCAAGACCGAGGACTTAGGATTTTTGGCTTTAGCTTGAGAAAGAGGGGTAGGAACTTAGAGAAAGTGGGGAAAAGCTGAAGAAATGACGTTTGACTCATAAAGTGGAAAAATCCTAGCGCCGGCAAGCTATAGATGGTACCGATGACACGCTATTACAAAGATATTAGCGCCGACTAGACCTTGTCGATGACACGCTATGACACAGAAGACAGACACAAAACTGACGTGCAGAAGGTAGTTTGACTCACATAAGTGTTAGAACACCTATTACAGAATAACCAAATTCATTGGAGTAGAAAACGATGAACACCTACCTAATTCTATGTAGGAGAAAAAGGCAATCAACTCTATTTCTAAGCTAGGGGCTAAACAAGCATGATAGAACGTGATGAACTACCATAAGGAAGGTAAAAATATGATAGACGGTAAAAGAAATAATAAAGGACAAGGAAAACCAGTTGTATGGTTGATCGGTGATGATTTTTTCTTCATGGCTGCCTATATTTATAGTACTTGGACGAAAACCCTTGCTGACCTATGAGAAAAGGTAGTTTAACATGGTCAATTTTCTTGAAAATAGGATACTATTCCCGCAGCAGTCTCTCAATCGGTTGATGATTTTTCTCACAATCAGCTCTTAATTTGGTAATAGAATCCTTTCTCAAATATCTCTTTAATTACTGGTAATTTCCCTTATTAAAAGGAATAAGAAATAAGGAAGAATCTTCCTTAATTACCAATTAATCACGCAGCCGATTCTGGAACAATTCTATTCCTACTTAACTTATACTTTCCTTCTCCAATTCTGAAATTATTCACACTCAACTAACCCATATTGATCCCAAACATATTTTGGCTAATTTTGGACTATTTTAGGGCCTTAGAACCTCAGTCATAATCATATAAATCCACCAAAACTCCTGGACCAAGACTCACATCTCTCGTGGCCCGAATAGCAAAACACTGGCCAAACAGACCAATTCGCCAGGCTTGAAAAGTGCCTACAAAGGCTTGGATTTGCCCAAAGTTCCCTCAAGTTTTTCTTCCAAATCTACCATTTCAGTCCCAATTCTTTTCCATTCAAAGTTCATAATCAACCCCGCCAATGTCATCCCGACCAGCCTCATCGCCATAGCAGCTCCAGGACAAGCTCTCCTCCCTTTACCAAAAGGTAAGAACTTGGAGGACCCTTCATGAATAATTCCTCCAGGATCATCAAATCCTTCAAATCTTTCAGGAATAAATTTGTCGGGTTCTTTCCAAACATTAGGATTCCGATGGATAGCCCGAGCATTTACCATCAAAGTTGTTCCTTTCCGGATTCTGAATCCTCCTATGGTACCATCCTCGGATGAATAATGTGGGACTAGAGTTGGGGCCGGAGGCGAAAGCCGAAGCGTTTCGTTGATAATGCAATGTAAGTAAGTCAAGTTGACAATAGATGTATCAGTAATAAGATCTCCTGGTTGTTGTATGTTGATGTTGTTTTCCAGTTCAGTTTTTGCCTTCTCCAGTACCTCAGGATGATTTAACATGTATGACATTGCCCATTCCATTGTGTGTGCTGAAGTATGTGTCCCAGCGGAAAGCATTGTCTATAAAAGTGAAAAAAAAAAGTATTATCAATCAAAGCATATTTCTACTCTACTCTGGCTATTGAATTCTTGCCGATATTAAAGAAATTTCCACGGTGCAATTATCATGATTTACCAACTTAATCATGTAGTCATGTTGTGACTTTTAGATTTCATGTATGAAATTAACGAAGTTGAATATGATTAAAGGAGATTACTAGGAGAATTCCTTTGAGAATATCATCATTGTAGTATTCGGGATCATCTTCTTGCAGAGACAGCAAAATCTTAACGACTGTTTTGAGCCCTGATGAAGGATTTGTACCATCCAGTTTATCATCATCATGAGTCGATGATGATCGAGCTTCATCAATTAAATTCTGAAGAGAGTTATCTCTGTCCTCATGTATTTTCATCACACTCTTCTCCAATCCTCCATATCCAATCCACCTCAGAATTGGAATGTAATCGCACAAATTCGAGACCTCTTGCGGTATAAATGAATCGGCTGGACCATCTTTTTCCGGCCACCATTTTCATCATAACATTCAGCATCAATTTCTTGAGCAGTGTATTCAAGCTCACAACTTTCCAGCTGCTGTCAGAACTCAATGTTCCCGACCCAAATTGTAACTCTTCAAGCACGAAACGAATCTCCTCTGTCCAAACAGAGGAGAAACGGTAAAGACTAATCGAAGAGAAAACATGAATGGTGGTTATACGACGGAGATTCCGACAGTGAACTCCGTAAGGTGCGAATATAAGGGTGGTATTGTTATAGCCTAGGATTTTGCCGGAGGTGGAATCCGGCCGGTTAGCGAAAATGATGTCTTATGTCTTAGTGAAGCATTCCTCTGCTAGGGATGGAGAAGAAACAAGGAGCATAGGGCAAACTCCAAAACGAAGGGAAATTAGAGGACCATATTTAGTGAAGAGTTATTGTAGGGCCAGATGAGGGGTGGGTTTAAGGAGACGGAGATGGCTTAAAATCGGAAGAGCCGGCGGGCTTGGCAGCAATAGCTTTTGGTTCTGTTTCCGATGGAGGTGACAAATTACGAAAATCAATAATAGAATCATAAGTAGAGCACATTGGAAGAGTTCCATGAATGGATGAAGATACAAGAAGAAATGGTTGACTGGAAGTGTTTGGATTTACTGGCTAGATTATTTGCTTCTTTTTAAGATATACTTCTTTTATAATGATTGTTACTTACCATCCCATTGAAAGACTCATCCTTGCATTATTTTTGCCAAACGACTGATCAAAATGGCAGATCAAAATGCTAATGGCATCATTTTTGGACCTTCCTCTCTAAAATACTAATGGCAGATGAAAATGACCAGCCCTTGTAATTGTATCAAATGACTGACAGATTTAATTCAGTTCCCCTTAACCAAAGTCTCGACTAGACTCTGAAGTACAAAATTTGCAAATTTTAATACAGTGCACTAATGGAAGAAGTGATATTGCGAAACATTGTTCAATCCAGCTCGTATGATATTATTTGAGAAACTTTAGAGATTTAACCAGAATTAATGAGTGCAAATGTGTCCGGTTATCAAATCTTATTCTATCTTGTACTATCATACTATGGAATAAGTACACTTGTATCCAATTTTAAAATATAGATACTTCATATCAATTTTTATTCTTTCGATCTTAATAAAATAGTTTATTTTATTATATTGTTCGCTGTTTTTTGGAACTGAGTAGAATCTAGTACCTCATCAAGATACTATTACAAGGGACCAAGGACATCATTATTGGGGGGCATTGATCCTCGGTATCATTAAAAGAGATAAGATTATTGTGTTGAAAAGTCTTGTTTTTTGTATTCTAGAATTATTACTTAAGCATGTGCTTTAAATGCTTGGTCATTGGGACAATTGGATGGACACTATCAAATGTGGCGTAAAAGATGTTGAATCTTCTTCGTGTTATTTTAAAGTTTTAGACCTTTCTGTATTTCCATGTTTATTACCTGTAGCTGTCACTGTCCAAAATATGCACAAATCTATTTTAACACAATTGTTGTTATTATAAACAAGGAAGAAGTTTAATTCGTGAAGAAATATGTGATCCTACATCATAAGTTTGTAACTTGTCACCCATCACCTAGGGGCCGATCGGTTTGAGTTTATTGAGTCAATAGTCTACTTCAGATTTGTGTAATTTTTTTGGGAGGTTTTTTTTGATATGTATATCGAATATATTTTCACTCCGCAGTAGGGCTACTCGTTAATCGGCTATACCCGACAAACCGCCCGACTCGACCTGCTTTCAGCTAATTCGGGGCGATTAATCGGTTTAATTGGGAAAATTTCGATTGCACCCGATTAACCGATTAGCTAATACGGTTTGGGGTCGGTTTTCAGAAATGTTTTTCGAGTCTACCTGATTTACCCGAATAATTTAATTATTTATTATTTTATTTATGAAAAATATATAGGACCGGTCAAACTCAAACACTACTTCCCATTTTTTTCTCCATTTTCATTTTTTTCCCATCTTCTTCGCGTCGTTCTCCCTTGGCGACTTCTTCGGGTCACCTTCGCCATCGACTATAATCCACCGTCTCCGGCATTTCCAACCTCCACATTTACCTCCACGATTCCTCCTCTCATTTTCCACCTCCACACCCAGTTAATCGACCAAATTCACCACCAATCCAACCCAAAACCAAATCTAGGGTTTCTGTTTCATAGTTCTCAAATTGGGGCTTTTTTTAAAATCGATTTTGATTCGATTCATCTATGTCCACGACTTCTCCTCCCATTTCCCGCCTCCACAACCAAGTAAATCGACCAATCCAACCCAAAACAGATCTAGGGTTTGAGTTTTAGATTTCGAAAATTTTGAGAATTTTTTTTCGTGGAGTGAAAGGATTAAAATGAAACGCTGCTTCTCACCGGAGCTGAACTGCTAGTTGCTGACGTTCACCGAAGCTGAACTGACTCTTGGTTGTTGGTTACTACTTTCTTTACTCTTTAAGGTAAGAATTCATAATTTTATCTAACTTTTTGTTACTGGTTGCTACTAGTTACTACTGCTGGTTGATGTTTGCCTAAAAATGAAATGTGTTTCTTTTGGGTTCAGTGGTTCACCTAGATTGCTTATTGTTGGGAAACTGGGTGTTGACTGTTGAATAATTTAGTTACTAGTTGTTAATTGCTAGCTATCGAGATTATTAGGATACTGTTTTTAATGGAATTGTGCTTCAAGCTGTTGAGCTTTGATCTTTCTAATTTTCTATTTGACTGTTTCTTGGCAAATATGCATGATTAGTAGTAGTGACTGTCAACTTGTACTGGTGAGTGATGATTGCATGTGAGTGATTGAGTTCAGAGTTGTGAGTTGTGAGTTGTGACTGTTGTTGTCTCTGAAAAATGCATAATTCACTGTAACTGTTAACTGATGATTGAATGTTAACTGGTAATTGAATGTTGTTTCAGTATTTTGAAAGTACTGTTTAGTTGTTGTGTGTTCTCATGTGGTGTGATGTAACTGGTTGTTGTCCTTAATGTGTAATGGATTGAGTACTGCAAGATATGTATCAGATATCATATGTTGTTGGTTATGTAGTCAGTAAGCGAGGAATATGATTTAGTTACACTGTTATAGAACTGATGCTTTATTTATAAAACAAGTAAAAAAGTTGTCTTGACCACTTTAGTCTTTTAAAACATGATGGCTTGATAAATATTGTGTTGATGTGTTCTGATCTTTTCAAGTTTAACTTTAATTTGACTTTTATTTGGTAACCTTATGATATGATTTCTTATGGATTGTTTTGTTTTCTATAAGTGTAGGACTGACTTATTGAGAATTGAAACTTGATATTGCTACTGTATTTAAGGTAAGAACTAAGAACTGAATGTTGAATGTTGAGTATTGTTGATGTTTGTTTAAAAATGAAGTTACTTCATAGTTTTTCATTGGCCATATGAATCATTATTGTCTGTTTTTGTTTCTTTTTAATGCAGGACTGAGAATTGAAGTTTGAGACTGTTAAGCTATCTTCAAGGTAAGCTTTTTTTTTTGACAATTTTTGTATTTTTGGCTTGCTGTTTCAGTGTTTTGAAACTTAAAAGTGTTGTTCAGTTGGTGTGTGTTCTGCAATCTGTTTCTAGGTTTCTACAATCTGTTTCAGGTAATTAAAATGTTTTTTTCCTCCATTTTTCTATGTAGATGTCAGAATTAGATTCTGAATTTGAGGATATTAAGGAGATTGAGGAGATTGAAGTCGAGAAAGGTTCTGGTTCACTGCCTCCTCCTCTGCTGGATTTGCCCAATGATGAAGGATTGATTGTAGATGTAGAGATTGAGGATCGGGGGACTGAAGCTCAAGCTGTTATTGTTTCGAAGCAGTGCAGGGTAACTCGTAAGCGCTCTCTGGTATGGCCTCACTTCTCTATTCATAGAGATGATAAAGGTGTATTATGGGCTGATTGTAAGTATTGTGGTAATTCGTATATGGCTGATAGTAAAAAACATGGGACTAGTAGTCTTCAAGCACATTTGCGGGTTTGTAAAAAGTACTTATCTTTGAACCATGATCTTGGTCATAGTAAGTTAGTTATTGAAACTGGGGAGGGAAACCTTTGAGTGTATGTACTTGGAGGTATAATGAAGAAGAAATAATTAGGGCAATGATTTGCATGATAATTGTTGATGAATTGCCATTTAGGTTTGTTGACAAAAAAGGATTTAGATATTTTCTTAGGAAGTTGCAACCACAATTTGTGCCTAAGGGTAGGAAATCAGTGGCTTATGAATGTTATAAACTGTATTTATCTGAGAGTGAAAAACTGAAAGTTGAGCTGAAAGAAAATGTTAGTAAAATCTACTTCACTACAGATATTTGGACTTCTTTACAGAAAATTAATTATATGTGTTTGATTGGGCATTATGTGGATGATAATTGGACTTTGAAAAAGAAAATTTTAAGTTTCTGCCTTATTACAAGTCATAAGGGTTTAGATATTGGGACTGCAATTGAGAATTGTTTGCTGGATTGGGAAATTGAAAATGAAAATGTGTTTTCCATAACTGTTGATAATGTTTCTTCAAATGATCTGCCATGGAGTATTTGAAAGAGCAAGTCTGTTGGGTGCTAAATTGTTGCATGTTCGTTGTATGGTTCATGCGATGAATCTGGTTGTTAAAGATGGTTTGGCATATATAGGTAAGTCTGTTGATAGGATTACGGCTGCAGTTAAGTATATTAGGCAGTCTCCTAAAAGATTGGCAAGTTTCAAAAAATATGCTGAAATTGAGAAGTGTCATAGCGATAACATAAAAATATATATCCTTTTAGTAGGTATTTCTTACTCATTTCTACTTATAATTTAGTGTCAATTAGTTATGATGAGTTTACTTTTGAGGTGATTTTGCATTTCAGGAATCTCAGAGGGCCAATATAGAAATCAGCATAAATGAGGGTTGAATTGTACAAAAAGGCATCTAAATGGACTGGAATGGAAGCTGCTGGAACATGAGCTGTTAGAAGATCGATCAGAGCTTAAGCAAGTGGAGAAATCCTTGTTGTGGAAGGAAGATTGATAGCAGATGACTCAAGTGGAAGAACCTGCAGCAACCACCTCAATAGAGGAAGAAGAACTGCCAGCCGCTCTACGGCCAAGTTGCTGTTACAAATGCTGTTGCTGCATTCAATTAGGAAGAGCCAAGGCTGAATTCTTACTGCCTAAGGAAGGAATTGCTTCGCTATCACTACAAGTTATAGCTACTACAAGTTGAAGAAGAAAAAGAGGGAGACTATATGGAAAACAACTGCTACAAACCTGCTACTTACCTACAGTGACTGCTGCTGCTGAATTGATGGATTAGGTGCTGCAGTCAGGTGAGAAATGGTGTTTCAAGTAATCACAGAAGACAAGGAAGGAAAAGGCAGACATATTTGGCTGAATTGGGGGCTGAAACACAATGATGGAAGGAAGCATGCTGCTGATGCTGCTGCTGCTAGTTGAGCTGCTGCAGATTAAAGAATAAAGAAACAAAGGTTTGTGGTTGGAAATTGGAGAAGCTGCGCCGGAGAAGAAGACTAACAAAAGAAGGCAATGATGAGAGGAAGGTGGCTTATTTGCGGCTGAAAAGAAAGATCAGCCAAAGAGAAGACTACAACTTGCCAACTAGACAAGTTGCTGAATAAACAAACCTCTACTACTGGAAGTTGCTGCCTCACCTTTCTACTACAGAGAAGAAGGCCATAATTCAACCAATCCAAGCTTCTCCAAATCTCTATAAATAGTCAGCCAATAGCAGTTAGAAAAACAACAGATTGGGTAGTTAGATTTAGTCCAAAAGATACTAGTTAGGTAGTAAGTTAGAAGGTTAAAAACAGGGTAGTAGCAGAAACAAGGAGGCAGAC